AGCTGTTGAAATCATGGTGGAATTCTTCCAGGGTCTCCTTCCCATGGGTCCAGATGATGAAGATGTCATCAATGTAGCGTAGGTAGAGAAGGGGCATAAGTGGACGAGAGCTGAGGAAGCTTTGTTCCAGGTCAGCCATAAAGATGTTGGCATATTGTGGGGCCATGTGGGTGCCCATGGCGGTGCCACTGGTCTGGAGGTATATATTGTCACCAAATTTGAAATAATTGCGCGTGAGGATAAAGTCAATGTCATAAGCACCATCCTCATCATTAATACTCTGACACCTGCATTAAGGGACCCAACCCTGCCCAAAGCAACGATCCCGACTTGTCCTCAAGCATTTTACCGTGTGATAATTAAGATCATTAAGAATACTGATTCTCCACTTACTTAGACCACTGTAAATCAGGAGTAGCTCCAATCAGCTGAGTTGCTCAACTGTAAAGAGTGAGAATCAGGACCCAATTCCCTAATGAGACCAGAAATTGCACAGAACTGATTTTAGATACCATAGAATCAAGGCCAGCTAGACAGCTTTGCTCTTTAGTGCCCATAAAGCACACACATGGTGAAAACCTTGCCTAACCAATCCCAGTCTCCACCTCATGGGCTCTGCATTCCCATCCCAGTCTCTTTGCACAGCCAGCCCCGGTCTCCCATCCAGGCCACCCGTCCAAGTCCCAGTCTTTCCTCAACCTTGGCTTCCAGTGCCAGTCTCCTTGTCCAGCTAGGCCCAGTCTCCCCCAGTCTCTTCTTATCCAATCTCAATCTCCCCACTTCCCCCTCTTAGTGCCAGTTTCCCTCTCCAGGCACTTTGTCCCATTCTCCTCAACTCATGCTCCTCATCCAATCTCAGTCATCACCCATCTTTGTCCCAGTCTCCCCACCCCAGGCTCCTTGTCCAGTCTCTGTCTCGCCATCCCCACTGGCTCCCATTCCTATTCTCGCCCCAGTAATTAAACCTGGACTCTGAACTAGCCCCTCATCTCCATGGGTTGACCCCTCTACATGCGTTAAGGAATACTGGCAGATCAGTGAAGAAGAAACCTGCGGTATTTCCACTTGTCTTTAGCTAAACAAAAAAATCCAGTGTCCAAGGCAGTCAAGGCTGCACTTTCACCAACACTAAATCTCAACTCCTCAGAAAAGATGGCAGTCTTGCAGCATTGTGAAGTACACCGGTGAGTTGTAGCGAGGGCCCCGCCTGGTGGTTAGCAAATGAGGCAGATGACATTAATGGTGCACAGCCAACATGGGATCGGATGAGATGGGCTGAATTACGGTGTGTGCATATACAGATATACATTGTGGTATGTGACTGGTTATCTATAATTGAATTTTGTATAATTTCTCATAGGCAAAATGTATTCAATAACTGCACTCATGAAATGTAAAGAGCTCAGTGACTGCAGGGCACCAAAGACATTTCCCAAAGTATTTGAACAGGAATTAGTGAGACAGTTCTCAGTAGGCACAAGTTGTTAGGGGCATTTTGTCAAAAACATTTCATTGCTGCTGCAGGACAAGCTAATAGCGGATGTTCTTATTTAATGTACTTATTATGCCTCATGTAGTACCATGTATTTATTATGGGCCCGATCCTGTGAGGAGCTGAATGTTGTGAGTGACTATTTTCAGGGAATTAGAATAGAATAGAATAGAATGGAAACTGTCATTTCACATTTATTACAGCTGTTTGCAACCAGCTCCCCAGTCTGTCTGTATAGAGCTTTTCAGCTGAAAGGATCCCAAAGTAGTTCACAAGTTACATCTGCACATACAATCTTTGGACCATCCACACCACATCTATAGTGCAGCAAGCTCTGTGGCAGCAGCCAGGTGGATGACGAGAGCACAGTCCACTGCACAACCATGTGAAGAGGGGAGATTTTGGACAAGGGCACTACAGCAGCCCCCTGAATTTATAAAAATGCTCCGGGACGTTCATGTCCACGCAGAATACGTGAGCTCAGGTTTTAAGGATTTACCTGTGCACTGAATGAGGCAGGGGACCTGAGGAAAAAAAGTAATACATGACCATGTAATTAATGACTGTATCATAATGCACATGCACAAGGGGGTTGAACCAAGGTTGCACAGACAATCTTAATTCAGGCATTTCCTAACTTCAGAGTGCTTGATTTTGCAACCTCAATAGTGTACTTTCATTGTAACAGGTGTAGGGTGTTAATTTGATTATTATTATTGATGCTTATTTTATTGTGACAAACCCTGAGAAGTGCTGAGCACTTTCCCAGAGCCTCTCTGCATTTATTCTTAATCATTAATAATCATGATGGAAGTTAGTTTGGTTCAATATAGCTAGGGGTCTATGCCTACATCAACCATCATTTGCTTTCAGACAAATTTGACAGCTTGTGACTGGACAGAATATAAAGCATCTTCCCAGTTGTTTATGGGCCCAGTCCTGCAAGGTGCTGTGCTCACTCACCTCCCATTGTCTTCAGACTGTGCTCCGTACCTCGTAGGGGGTGCTCAGCTCTTTGCAGGATCAGGTCCTTTGCAAATCAGTCGAGCTGTCTCTTGCAAAGCTAAGATGCAGCAGGGCAGAAAGTATATCTCAGTTCACTGAGCAGTGTTTGGAAATCTCTCTTGTTAAATGAAATCTCTATTTAGATTTCAGAGTAACATTTTGAGCAGAGAAGAGGAATCTCCATAAACATGTTTGCCAAAGAGCCAATTAAAGAGCGATGCATGAAAGGTGATAGACTGCCAAAGGTGATGAGAGCTGAAGTCTGTGGCAGATTGGAAATATGATTCAATTAAATCTATGAAATTGTCAATACAGCATAAATGTACATGCCAGTCTGTAATGTTATAACAGGAGTAATCAGAGGGGAGATCATTTTGGGCTGTGTTTCTGTGCGTTTGCAGAACTGGACTCTATTCTGTATCCACTATCTGTAATTAATGGCAAAACTCCCTTTAAACTCAATGAGAACAGGGTCAAGCTTTTATGTGCATTAATGAATGCTGCATCTGTAAAGAGTTTTACACCCTGGAATCTTAAAGCAATTTGCAAACACTGCTGCCAATTGTTCCAATAGGGGAGTGAAAGATGTTGCCTTACCTGCTGTGAGCCTGATTGTCTCATGTGATAAGCACACAACCATAGGCCCGGGAACTAGAGGTGCGGGGGATGCTTTAGTACCCCCAGGTTTTACGCAGGGCTCTGCTCCCGGCCCCATAAGCGGGGACCCGGCTCCTGGCCCTGCGCCCGGGCTACTGGCCCTGCACGCGGGACTCCCCTGCTGCTGGCTCTGCACCTGGGGGTCCTGACTGCTGGCCCTAGCCTCGGCCCCCTTACTCCTGTCCGGGTGCCCTCCTCCCAGAGACACGGCCCTACTCCCAGCCCCAGCTTGGGGGGGCGGGGGGGGGGGGGGCGCGGACAGGGGTAAGGGGGCTGGCTTTTCAGCTCCACTATGATAAATGTTCCAGTGCCACTGACCACAACTTCCACTGAGGTCAATGGGAACTGTAGGTACTCAGGATCTTGGCCCCATCTCATTCCCTCCTCACCTATGACCATGTGCTTAAGTGTTTGCAGGATCAGGGCCTTGAAGTTTTGCAGGGCTTTAGCACTGTTCAGGAACATAGATCTTGTCTACACTATTTAGGTCCGGATCTACAAATGTATTCAAATCAATGGAAGTTAGGAGCCTAAATACCTTTTTGGATCTGGGCCTTACCTACAAATGTAATTGCAGGGACAGTGGTCCCCAAACCCAAGAGGTTTACACCCATGATGTATACTAGGGTTTGCTCTAGTAGAGCTACATCAGGGTAACAGCACCAGACCCTAAATCCCCAATGAAGACATGCCAGAAGCAAAGCATGGTCTTTTCCTATTTACAATGAAAGACAGTGTCAGGCACTCCTGTGTTGGAAAAGGGTCTTGGCAAAACAGTGATTTTTCCTATGTAAATGTTACTGAGGGCTTCTTAAAATACGCACCTTGTTCCCTTGAATGTGCTTTTGGATTCATGAATTGCTCTGAGCTTTGTGAGGCAGATTTGTGGCAGGTTCTTTGCAAGTTTCAGCCTCCACACCTTTAACTATGCACAGAAAACAGCGCAGCTTGGGTAGGATTTGGAAATGTCGGCCTCGCAAGATGTATTTTGCCAAAACTTTTACACCAAAATCCTGTTCTGTATACTTACATACTTGATTATCCATGTTAAACAAGGCGAACAATGGCTTATCTTCCGTGGTGTTATACAAATGTCCCTTAGCAATTTGTACCAATTACACTAAAGAGCCCTCTGGAAGCTGGCAGTAGATGTGCTTTCCCTCTGCTTGTGAAATTTAATTTCTCACTTGTCATCATGCATTGTTTTTGCTCATTCCCCAGCTGCCCCTCTCTGACAGCTCATCTGCAGGCCCCTAAGGGAATGGATCTTTGGTACCAGGCTAGCCCTGTGCTTGCTGCATCCCACACTCTTAAGTGTTGGCTAACTGTGCCCTTGCTCGTGACAATGGCTAATCAAGTGTGTGAGATGTGCCATCTCCAGCAGGAAACAGAGGCTCTTCCCTGCTGGAGTTTAGGATGGGAAATGGGGGGGGGAGGGGTGATAGGCCAGGAGGAGCTGGGAATGGTTTCGAATTGAGTGGGTCCTTCTTTGTTGTTGGGAGGGAGGGGGAGAGAGAATTGGAGGCAGGTCACTGGACAGGAGATAAAACCTCCTGAGGGCTGAGCTGAGCAGAGCTTTACACCAGGCTGTGGGAAGGCAGTACAAACAGCTCACAGACTGGCGGGAGGAGGCAGCCATACATCCTGGTGGGCTGATTGCGGGTGCAGGGGCATCCTGGTGGCTAATAGAATCGGGAGGGAGCCTGGTCTGGGCTGCTCGGGAGTGCCCTAAGCAACTGGGGAGTTCAGAGCACGTGGACTAATCAAGGGACAGGCTAGGGAGGTCTCCAGTCTGAGTCCTCTGACGGAGGGGGCGAAAGGCAGGAAGCCCGAAGGTTTCTGTGTCATGGAGAGGGGCCCATTGTGTGTCCTGGTGCTGTTGCTGACTCTGGGGGGCACCTCTGGGCAGGATGGAGAGTACTGCCATGGCTGGGCGGACAGCTCACAGCTCTGGCATAGGGGCTTTCGGTGCCCAGAGCACTACGACAGCCCAGAGGCTACTCTATGCTGCGGCACCTGCAACCTGCGCTACTGCTGCTCAACCAGAGAGGTTCGGCTGGACCAAGGCTTGTGTCCTAGTGACCATCACCAGACCAGTCCCAAGCCTCCATCAGGTAACAGGCTCCTTCTGCACCTGCAGGATAAGGGGTGGACTTCATCAGAGACCTGGGTTCTGCAGTGCACTTAGGGAGCTGGAATGCTTTTTAGATCCACCACTCCAAAACTCTCCCTTTACAGTTCCATATCTTACCCAACCAGCCCGTGCTTCCCTCTGCAGTTCCACATCTAATCCCCCCCTTCACCACCTTCAAAGCTCCAGCTGCTCAACTCAAGTCTGCTCCCTCTTTAAAGCTCTAGACAACTTGACCCACGGTGGGACCCTGTTTAAAGGGGAATGAGCTATAGCAAGTGAGTAAAGAAGAGTATTTCTGGGCCGCCCTCCCCCATCATTTTAAAATGGAAGTCTAGTTCCCTTGTAGAATACAAAGTGCCCCATAGCTGGTATTGGCAGAAAACTGCTGGGGCATTAGGCTATGCTAATTAAGGGCTAGTCTACTCATGGAGTAATTCCTGGTTAACTTCTCCTGACTAACTCTAAACTCCATGTGTGGACACACTTATTCTGGAATGAATGCCTTGTTCCTGTTCAGCTTAACCCAAACTCCCTGGAGCCATTCATGAATGCCGTTGCACTTTAAATTCAGACCCTGCTTTAATCAGAAACACCTTCCAACTGTAGACAAGCCCTAAGGTACTGTCTGGGAAGGAGGAGGGAAATGGGTGATCTATAAGCAGAGCTGAGTGTGAGGAAACCTTAGACTAAATTCTAGTGATGCAGGCCAGAGCTAATGAACGATGTGGGGTGGAAACCAGGCTTCAGCTGAGGTTCTTTTAGTTTAGCATTTGGGGGCTTAGTGTAAATGCGAAGGAGTGACCAGGCACCAAAAAGCCATTGAGCCAAGCTCTAGGATTTATGTTCCAAGGTGAAGAAAGCATAATGTGGGCTGCTGTGACTGCTAATGTGCTGGGTGCTCAGAGGCCTCTGGTTCCTTACAAGTTTCCTAAAATGGTGAATTTTTGGTTTGTAAAAATTGGGATTGCAAGATCTAGAGTTGCTTAGTGACCGTATCTAAACTCCTGTCCTGTACAGGTAGATTCTACATGGCATTCATCACTAATTCTATAAAGTAAACAAGTTATGGGCTCAATTCTCTGGTCCTTTGCATCTTGTATTGTCACTTACACCTGAAAACAATAGGTGTGAAATGCTACCAGATCAGAATACTAGTCTCAAAAGCACTCTGCATAGGTGTAAATGATTATCATAATTTGGAAAGGCAATGGCGCCCACCTCTGACCTAATACCTGGGCTTAGGCAAAAACTTCATTCTAGTTTCTCATTGGCAAGACCCCATCTTGGTCCTGCTATTCATTTGGAGAGTTAATGGGCTCAGAACCCTTGCTGGTAGGGTGTAAGACTTTGTGGTGATGCTTTAAAGATTTAGTGAAGCCTCTAGGTCTGAAACATGATATAGCTAGGGAAACTTCTTTAAATGAGGACCTTAGTAAAGACTAAATGACTGACTTCTCGCTCTGTATTTTCCATTTCCAGTGCCCATGTACTTACCTTTCCTCCTCGTTGGGTCCATATTTGTGGCTTTCATTGTCATTGGGGCCTTCGTTGGTATTTGCTGCTGTAGATGCCTGAAATCCCAGGATGAAGAGCAGCAACATGGGCCTGCACCAATCCAGAGTCGGCTGCTGGAAGCTGCTGCTCCTCCTTGGTTCTCCAGTTCAGCCACCAGATGCTCCTTGGGTAGTCATCCTCAGACCAATAACATCTGCCTGAGCATGGCTCCACCTTTCCCCATCATAGGGTCCTCTCAAGGAGCCCAGTTCTTGCCTCCTACATCAACCAATGGATCCCTTTTGCAGCCTGCATGTACTACTTATGGAATACCAACTGATCATACTATCATAACAACTCCAGCATCTTTCCTTAATAGAGCAGTCTATGGACAAACTTCTTACTATCATTTTCCTGTAAGTGCCATGCCTGGTGACCAAACAATGTACTCAGGCGCTCATGTCTAAGATGACTTGTAACTGCAGAACTCCCTATTGTAAAAATGTAGGGTGCTTTTTGGACAAAGTAACAAGCGGGAAGTAATACAAACTTCTGAAATCATTAGCATGTGTGAAATGAGAATCCTGTCTTTATATCTATTTGGGAAAAATAGGTCTCGTTTTAATTGTTTAACCAGTTAATTCAGTATGTACTACCTTGGGGCTCAGGTTCAGTCTCCATAGTTCATTCATTTATTGGCATGTTTTCTCATGGCAGGGCTAATCTTGGTGGGGGTTTTAATTGTGGACAGCTGTCCACTGGGAACTGGAGCAATATTGCCATACTCCTTCGCATAGGCATTGAACAGCCAGCTGATCTTGGAACTCTTGGTCAGTTACTAACTTAGGCTGAATTTGAACCCAGCTACCTACAGGGATCTCTTACCCATTACCAAATGCCTTAGCCATTCTGCAATCTTAATAAGACTAATTTTGCATTATATTTAAAATGGCTTGTAGAGTACTTTCTCTGATTAAAAACTAGTTGTTTTATCTTAAAGGGACATTGTCAAATCATGTCTTTGCCTGAATTTTTATCTACATCTGACTGTTTCAACACAAGCTTATTCTAAGCAAAAGGGATTAGAGGGGAGAATGAAAAGTCTTGTTTTTCTTTCTTACTGTGACTATACTATGCATGTATTAGCATTAGGCATAGTCAGTTTCACTGTTGTTTGCATGGGCCCATACTGACAGGGCACAAAATAACGTTCAGAAAATGTGAATGACAGCAAAAGCAAAAGCTGGCAGAGGGACTAGGGAGCAGGTGGAGTATCTGAAACTACTTTTTACCTTCCCCGCCTCCCCCCAAATTGACTGGATGTCAAGTTGATGGTGACTCTAAGACTGAACATGTTGCTGAAGAGCTGTCAGTTAAGTGCTGCTACAGGAGCAGCTTTTAGGCCAAAACTTTTTGTAAAATGCACTTTGTGTCTGTGCAGATTATTGGGGTGGGGGGAAATAACTTTGTGCTGGTGTATTTGTTGCTCTCTGTCTTGTAATGGTTTAGTGTAACTCTAGCTATGCAACAGCAACAAAAAGAGACCTATTAACTGATTATAAGACATTATGATCTTTTTTATAACTGGGTGGTAAAAAGGAGTGAAATGTGGCAAGACCCTCCACCTATATAACACTACTTCCTTTTTCTTTAGCTTCTAGTAGAGAAGAAAACCCTATCTATTTTCACTTAAAATACTGTTTACACTCTCAATAAGGAATTATCTTCAGATGTGCACTGCCTAAATGCAGCCATCCTTCACAGCAGGAGTTAACAGCAGGATGCTGATATGAAGAGGTTGACAAAATATGTTGATCCCAGCTGCTGGAGTATCTAACACTTCCTTTGGTCAAAGAAACCGGAGAATAATTACACCAGAGGTACATTCAAATAACTCCACAGACATTGCCAGCAGGAGCAGGTGCCAAGGATTAAAGTTGTGAGTAAAACACAAGAACTTAATCTTCAGCTGATTGGTCAGGATCTTAAAATCTGTATAATAAAGAGGCTTTGATGACTTCCCTTGGAAGCAGATGGGGCTAAATAATCTGTTCTGTAAACATAAAATCCATCAGAATATTTGTATTTGTATTGTATTGATGTGGAGGCATCTCACATCTAATTCTATTGTGTAATGTATCCCATCATATAGATGCTAAAAAGGGCATACATTTCTTAGTACCCTGGCTTGTAGTGGGGGAAGCAATGCATTCTGGTAAAATAATAGGCTCAATTCTCCCCTCATTTGCACTGGTGTAAATCAAGAGTATTTCCACTGAAATTAATGGACTTACAGTAGAGTAAGAGAAGGGGAAATTGGTCCTAGTATATCAAAGTTTGCTGTAAGGGATGTAACTTTGGGCCTAATCTGTGTGCTGTACAGGGAAAGAAGTAATAAATGTTTACATGACACGAAGCATTTTGAATTTACTCAAAATTAGTTATTGGATTTTTTTTTAAATGAGGATGAAGAAGGAAGACCACCAATATAAAGTACCAACCAAAGCTTAATTGTGTTGAGGGAGGCTGAGCCTAGTTTGTCATGTCACTCAATGCCCTGTCACTGAAAGTAATTGAGGATCTATTTTCACCATGGATTGGATTTCACAGCACCCAGATGTGTGTGATAAGAATGGTAACATGTAGCTGTGCATTTGCTTTAACTAAATGCCTATTTTTAGAGGGACTGTTGTCTATGGTCTCACATTTTGGTGGATTCCATTCCATGTCCTTTTTCTTAATAAAAAGATCAGATAAGGACTAACACCCATGAGGACAGAACCTAAATCCAGTTATTTATGGAGTATTTCTACCATGTTCCTTCCTGTTTAGAGATACAAAGGTACGTTACAATGAAAATGGATGTTACAGCTCTAGTTTTAGGGTCCAAAATCCATACAGTGAAGTGTTAACAGAATGCATAGCTTACAGGGGTGTTAAACAGCACCTTATTGGCAGCAAGCATTGCTACCAGTCACTGCAAGGGAGCATGGACTGTATTTACCTTTCTAATTTGATCAAGTGTGTACATGCCAGACATTTGTTTTAAACTGGTTATATTATATACCCTGCCTCCTCCGATTATAACTTAATTTCAGTCAATTAGTATTGCTAACCCTCAAGCATTTAAAAATATGAGTCCGCCCCATCACAAGATCGATTTAAAGATCGTGAGACTTAAAAAATAAAGTGGGTTCTCTATTTGCCTGCTGACTCTTGGGCTTTTAGGGTACTAGTGGTTCACGTTTGCAAGATTTAGTTAAAAAGCATGAGGGCTAGACATATTTTCTTTTTACTGAAAGCTGAGATTCCACTGTGATCACTTGACTCCAGAAGCTGAGGCTTTAAGAAAAACACCGAATATTGTGAGATGTGCAACACAGGTGTATGTTCTCAATTATAATATTGCCCTGAAACATCAAAACCTTGATTCTGAAGGCAGTTTCCAATAGCAAATGATCTCTCTAAGGCCTGGTCTACACTAGGCTTTTATGTCGACTTTAGCGCCGTTATATCGAATTAACCCTGCACCCGTCCACACCAGGAAGCCATTTAGTTCGACATAAAGCTCTCTTTAAATCGATTTCTGTAATCCTCCCCAACGAGAGGAGTAGCGCTAAATTCGACATGGCCATATCGAATTAGGCTAGGTGTGGATGGAAATCGACGGTAATAGCTCCGGGAGCTATCCCACAGTGCACCACTCTGTTGACGCTCTGGACAGCAGTCCGAGCTCGGATGCTCTGACCAGCCACACCCCCGGGAAAATTTGAATTCATTTTCATTTTCCTGTCTGGGCAGTTTGAATCTCAGTTCCTCTTTGGACATCGAGGGGAGCTCAGCAGCAGTGGCAACTATGCAGAGCTCTCCAGCAGAGATGGCCGTGCAATCCAATAGAAAGAGGGCCCCAGCATGGACTGATCGGGAAGTCTTGGATCTCATCGCAGTGTGGGGCGATGAGTCCGTGCTTTCAGAGCTGCGCTCAAAAAGAAGGAATGCTAAGATCTACGAGAAGATCTCCAAAGCCATGGCAGAGAGAGGCTACAGCCGGGATGCAACGCAGTGCCGCGTGAAAATCAAGGAGCTGAGACAAGGCTACCAAAAAACCAAAGAGGCTAACGGACGCTCCGGATCCCAGCCCCACACATCCCGTTTCTACGAGGCACTGCATTCCATCCTGGGAGCGGCCGCCACCACTACCCCACCCCTGACCGTGGACTCCGAGGATGGGATATTGTCCGCGGCCGGTTCCTCAGCGGACGGGGAAGAGGAGGAAGGAGATGAGGAGGACGAGGCAGTCGACAGCGCTGGCACCGCTGATTTCCCCGACAGCCAGGAGCTCTTCATCACCCTTACCGAGATCCCCTACCAACCGTCCCCATCCCTTACCCCGGACACAGAATCAGGGGACGGATCAAGCAGTAAGTGCTGTAAACATGTAAACATTTATTTAAAACAGAACGGTAATATTTATACTCTTAACAATGTATATTTATAAAAGTGCTGTAAACTAGTAAAAAAATAATCAGGTACAAAACAGGAATATTAACAAAGGTAACAAATGGGTTTTCATGATTTCTCTGTCTTAGGCTATTCTCAATTTAGTCCCAAGTATTTTAAAAAAATTTCACAATGTCCGTTACTACATGATTCCCAGGCCCAAGACGCTCCACTCCAAAGTCCCAGTGCACCTACGCGAAAATCCGGTCAATGTGGCCGGGGATCGACGAGAAATCCTCGTAGGAGAACTCCTCGTAGGTCTCGTGGAGGTAGAGCTCAAGCCTGTTGATCAGGTTCCGGGGTAGGGCGATCTTAGTGGGCCCTCCGTGGTAGCAGACATGTCCCCTCCACGCCACAATCAAGTACTCCGGGATCATCGCACGACATAACATAGCGGCATACGGCCCCGGTTTCTGCATGCTTTCCCGCAGCATGCGTTCTCTCTGGGTGTCCGGGATCCTCAGGAGGGTGATGTCGCTCATGACGCCCTGCTTTGAATTAGGGAGGGGAATGTTAGTATTGGGACTGCTTTACAGCCACGCGGTGGAGGGAGAGGGGCAGCATACAGGGATCTTTCCCTGGGACAGCCGCGAGGGGGTGGGACAGGGGCAGAGTTGATGCTGTCCTGATTGCTGGCAGCAGAGACTGGCATTGCTTTCAATGTGAAAGGAGGCCAGTGCTACTGCTGGAGTTTTAAGCAGCCACAAGTCTGCGGCTTACCATTATTGCCCGCTCCAGAAGTTCAGGTCTCCAGCCACAGTTCTCTGAACACTCCAAGACCTCCGCAAGTCCACAGGCACTGAAGGCGACGGCCGAAAATTCGACCTTGTCCTGAGTGCGCATGTGAGAGGTTCAGTGCATGGTCTTGTTCACAGAGAAAGACTAGGTTCTTTGTATACAATTTCATTTATCTGTCTCAGGAATTCACTCCCTTTTTAAAATTCACACAGACACATCTGCGACTGTC